TCTATAAGGATAGATCCCCCTTATATGGGATCTATCCTTATAGATCCCCCATATAAGGAATACAAGGGAAAGATTTGGGAGTACACATAGATAATTCATTCTAGACATGTTTAGGATGTGGTATGTGTGGGACATCCAGGTGGAAATAATCAAATATGCAGAAAGAAATGTGAAACACAGTGGAGATATAAAATTGGTACTCAGTGATATAATAATGATAGTTGACACTAGCTTCTGGATAAGACAATCCAGAAAAAAGGAAAGGGCCGTGGATACAATCTTGGGGAACATTAATGTTTATGGGGCAGGTATAGAAAATGGAGAGCCAGCCAAGGAAACCAAGTAGAACTGTCTGTGGATGAGCTTAACAGGATGGTAATTTTCAGGGTAAAAGGCTTTCCATCTTCCCTACATCATTGATATAACCCCTAGCTTCATAAGAACAGCAACAAATACCTTCATAGCTTAAATTATCTGCTCCAGAATCAGGCTGCCACCAGACAAGGAATGAATACAGTAACTAAAACTAGACAGGATACAATGACCATGGCTACATTTAGGATGCTGAGTCAAATGTCAACTATAGCCCCCAAATATCTTGGCTGACATATTACAGTGAACAGATTATTTAAGTCTTATAAAGCATTCAATAAGCAGTAGTGGGGATGATTATTATACCGAATACCCTCCTATCAAGAGAGAAGAAGAGAATTGCAAAACCTAGCTCTCTTTGCAAAGGGCCCCCTCCCAAAGGAAGCCAACTTCATGCAACTGCCCTGATTTCAGTGTCAAGGGCTGATTCCTAGCCAGGGGTTGCCAGCTGTAGAGGGCGGGGCTCTATTTTGGGCTGCCTGCTGTCCCTGAGCCTGGCCGCGTCTGGTTTGAGCAGCATGCAGCCCCAGTGACTCACACACCCATGCAAACCGCCTGTGGCTCAGTGGCATGGCCTCGGAATGCCAGCCTTAGGCCAGCTCCCTCCTCACCCCATTACACTGGGATAAATAAATAAAGAGCCAGCCAGCAGCCACACAGCCTGATGGCAACCAGATGGAGAGAGAGAGGCAGGGGCAGGGCCACGGGAAGGAACTCCCTCCAGTGGACTAGTCTGAGAATGGGTTATGCCAGCCCATTCATCCTAAACTTCCTCTTTAATACAGTTCCTCTCCCATATAAGAACAGTCCCCAATTCTCTGACTTTTCTTCCACTCCCAAAGGTGCTGCTCAATAGGGACCTTGCCCTATTTAAGGATCATGCCAACAGCCACCTCACTCAGCCCTGACTTAAACAGATATTGCTAGTATTCTCCCTGTAGTTAGGCCATTGTTGTTTGGCCCCCTTGGGTTCCCTGGAAGTGAGAAATGAGAGACTCTTAGAGGGAGAAGAAAAATAAAAAGACCAAATGTGGGCAAGTAATCCCTTCTCAATCCTTATGCTTCCTAGCCTTAGTAGCCTAGAAACCTGTCTGTCCTACTGAGCCCTGTGCCCTATGTGTACAACCTCTCCCTAGCAATAATCCCAATGAGAATTTTATAAAGTGACCCCAAGCAATGACCGCATGGCCCTCTGACATCAGCCCTGGCCCCCCTGCACCTTCATCCCAAGTTCTCTCCCTAGTTTGTTTATCTTCCTATTCTATGTTGCTTATTTTGATGGCACATCCTTTCAGTTCAATCCTAGGTGACCCCATGACCCTTCTGTGTCCTGTTTGTAGGACCCCGGGCAAGCAGAGAAACTGAAAAGATGCAGCAATCATAAGAAAGTCCTTCAGCCCTAGTAGGAAACCTTTCAGTTCCATGCAGGACATTCTGAGGACAGACAGTGCAGTGACCACAGAGGTCATAAGAGTTCCATGTTATCCTAGCCTGTGTCTCCCCTAACTTTTGTGTACAACCAGTTAAAGTAGTTAAACAAAATAGGGATCATCCTAGATGTGAGTCAAGAAATATGGGAAGTCCTAAACTTACAGCTACAGCTACACGACCTTAAGGCAAATCACTTAATCTCTGTGAGATTTCTTCATCTATAAAATGGAAAGCTACACCTACCTATCTCTCAGACCCTTTCCAGTTATAATAAAATTGTTAAGTGTATGAAGTTGACCTACTCAGAACATAGAGGACTAATACTCTAGAAGTTGGCTCAGGAAAAAACCCTTCCTGCACTAGCACCTGGATTTTATATGCTTTCTTATTCAATTCTGCAAGGCTCCCTACCACCCCAATAGTATGAAAGAGTGAGCCTCCAATTTGACAAATGAGACAATAGTAGCTCCAAGAGAAGTGATTTATCCAGGCCAGGCACAGTGGCTCATGCCTTAATCCTTGCACTCTGGGAGGCCAAGGCAGGTGGATTGCTTGAGCTCACAAGTTCAAGACCAGCCTGAGTATGGCTTGGTGCCTGTAGCTCCAAGCAGCTAAGGTGCCAGCCACATACACTGGAGCTGGCAGGTTTGAATCCAGCCTGGGCCCACCAACCAGCAATGACAACTACAACCAAAAAATAGCTGGGTGTTGTGAGAGGCACCTGTAATCCCAGCTACTTGGGAGGCTGCGGCAAGAGAATTGCTTAAGCCCAAAGAGTTGGAGGTTGCTGTGAGCTGTGGTGCCACAGCACTCTACCCAGGTGACAGCTTAAGACTCTGTCTCAAAATTAAAATTAAAATTAAAAAAAGAGACCAGCCTGAGCAAAAGTAAGACCTTGATGCTACTAAAAATAGAAAAACTGAGGCAAGAGGATCTCTTGAACCCAAAAGTTTGAGGTTGCTGTGAGCTATGATGCCATAGCACTCTACCCAGTGTGACAGCTTGAGACTCTCT